ATATATATATATATATATATATATATATATATATATATATATATATATATATATATATATATATTAATTAGCTTCTTGTAATAATTACCTTATTTATTTATTGTCTGTTATATTTTTCAACTTTTTCAACTATTTATTCATTACTTCTTTAAGCTTTTATTTTTAATTATGGCAGGATTGGTCCTCCATACTCTACTACAGCGCTTTATGCATAAAGCTTAGGAGCACAACAACTATATGCAGTATTATTTCCAGTTAAACATCCCTCCCTTTTATTGTGGATTTTGATATTTTTTAAAACTTTTATTTCTACTTGGGAAAAAAATCAGCAGTGGGGAGAAAGTAGGAATTTTTCCTAATTCCGATGGTATTTGAAGGCACCACTAGTGTTTGGTGTGGGCAGAGCTGCTGCTGCTTTGGCTTTAGGTCTCTGAACTAGTGTGAAAGTGAGGAGCTGTCAGACACTAACTGAAGCCTCTGGTGAGGAAGGAAAGTAGGTGTGAGTTGGCCATGTCCTGGAGGGGGGGAACTTGGTGATTTTGTGTGTGTGTGTGTGCGTATGAGAGAGAGTGTGGGAGGGGGGAGGGAGTAAAGCTGCAGTAAAGGCGAGGTTTAAAAACCCCGGAACTTGAAACGGTCGGAAACGAGCTAACAGCGGTTAGCTTCTCGTTGACAGCGTGTTTGCTGTCAAAGTCGCCGCAGCTCAGACTCCGAAAGGCGGAAGCCCTAAAGTAGGTTTCTCACTTTTTGCGCCCATTTTTCCAGCCTTCCGGGCTCTTGTTTACACACCAGAAACTCTGGAGTTTCAGTAACTATTTAACCTTTCTTGGACCCTGAAGATGACATCCAGAGGGGGCTTCCCTGCTCCTCAGTTGAATCCCACCGTGAGCCCCATGAGTGTCGGTCATGTCGGGGCCATGAGGATGCCCGGGATGCCACAGCTTCCCGCGGGTTACTCCCGCAGCATGAGCAGCAACCCCCAGTACCACCAGGTTTGACTTTCCCTTTTTAACCCTCTCTCTTTATTTAGTTTTAATTTATTTATTTTTATTTTATGATCCGATCTAACTTACAAAAATTAATTGAAAACAACTTAAAAGTAAAAAATCTGTTTATTAAACTTGCATTTCCGCCTTTCAAAGCACTACAGTAATTTCCTGTCACATAATCTGCTTATATGTTCTACATATTAATATTAATTTTATTTATAGATTTAGGATTATCTGCATTTGATTAAGAAATTAAAAAATAAATTGTATAATAAATGTGCTCCCTTCAAGTATGAAAGGGAAAGTCAGATTGTTTCCCTCAGCCTCCTGTCAGTTAGGGAAAACACACTTATCATCACCACCATCTGCCCTAAAGCAATCCTGCATACATTATCCCAGTTCTGCTACCATCTGCAGGTTCTTGTTGTCAAAACAGATATGCAAAAACACTAAAGTCTCTTTGGCCGTTCAAACATGCAGGGCTTCAGTTTTTTTACTTGAGATCAGAAAAAAACTAGGTTGAAACACCAAAAAGTGTCATTTCCTCATGCATCATCATGCCTAAAAACGCTGCATATGACCTGTTTCTAATTGCACAAGAACCACTAAGAAACAATCACAATGCACATTTCTGCTGCACCATTATGATTTACAACCTTAAGGAGGTAAAGTTTCCAGTTTCACAACTTTTTTTTTTTGTTTAAACAAACACAAGGTGACACCATTTGCTTATTTTTTTTAAACACAAAAGCAAATAACTATTGTTACCTAGGCATAATAAAACTCAAGGTGTTTATTTATTTTTTTTTTCTATTACAAAACATAACAAATAGAGAAATGCTTACTAAATGTAATAGTTTTCCTTTGGGCAAACTTTTTGCCTTTTATAAAAAATAGACATCTGGTAACTTAGCCGGCCTGCATTTAATTACTTGACGGCCATGTTACTGATATCGTTCCAATTTCAGTTTTAATAGAAATGGTGACTCCTTTAATTCCTATGCGCAGACTGCTCATTAGTTTATGATTGCAAATATTATCTACTTTGAAAGAAAACCTATACATCTCAACACTTTCCACTGCTTCCCTTTTAGAGGTGGGTTCAGAAGTATAGGAGTAACACAAATTTTGAAACCTATTACCACTGCAGCACATCTTAATGACTGTAATCAACAGATCTTTTTAAATTTACAGAGATGACGATTTGATGCTAGAAAAAATATCCCACATTGAGACATTTTATTACTGGTCCAAACCAGATAAAACCTGACTAAATATACTTGTAGAACAGACTGCATTGATTAAAGCCTTGTTCAAATGATTCCTTAAGAAGTTTGAAGATATGAAAGTAAAAATAAATTACGCTGTGCTCTCTGAGCCATCCCTCCAAAACGTCTTGCCTAGGAAAAGGAGGTTCTGTCGTTCCTGGTGGGTGTGTCTGGACTAAAAACCACCAGAATGAAGAATTTTCATCCAGAATTTTGGGTGTAGCTCAAAAATGTGAACACATATTTTGTATTAGATGGAAAGAGTTGAACTTTTTCCAGTTGGGTTGGTGGAGTTGCTGCTTCACCAAAAAAAAAAGTCTTGACGTTGATTATAAGCCTTATCTGAAGGCACATACTAGCACTTAGCTTGACACTCCATCAAAGGGGGCTAATAACGACCACACACCTCACGGTATTCCTGTTATTCTACATTTTATCTAATTGTTGTTGTTTATTTTTCAACTATTCTGTAAGTCTGCTACAGAAATCTGTAAAATTATCAAGGAGGAATAGTTCCTCCTTTGGATTTTAGAGCTAATAAAACAAAAGAAAATTACAAAAATTGATTAGTCAGTTTCATTTTCTTGACTCTAGCGGTCCGGGATGCTGCCCAGCAGAGTGGGGGGTCTCCTAGGGTCGATGGGGGGTCAGATGCCAGGTCCTTCGTACGGTAGTGGCAGTATTCCTATGCGGCCAGGCATAAGCCATCCCAGCATGGATCCTTCCAGGAAGCGCTTCCTTCATCATCAGCAGCAGCAGCAGGAGACGCTTGGAGGCATGAGAAGAGGGTAAACTGTTCTACTGTTTTAGCATTATCAGGTGTGACTAAGATATTATAAATGAAAGTGATTGTTTTTTTGTTTTTTTTATTTGTAATACAGACACCAATCAGAATTGTCTTGGCTGATGTTTGTAAAGGTCTTATCCTGCCTATCTTATCCTTATTCAGATTTTAGACCTTTCTGATTTCTTTCCTCTTAAGAAATATAGATTATATTAAAGTACTTTTTCAACCTAGTTTAAGTTTTTTGTCTTGATAACTAAAAGCATTACAGAATTAAAGGGAAAGATTTACTCCAAAATGGTCCTATAATCCTCCAAGTTAAAATATCAGGACTTTTTTTTTCCCAAGATTATCATTCAGAGAAACTTTTCATTTTTTTGCAGAATTAAAAGCATAGAAGTTCAATTCTTTACAGTGTTACATTGTCTATTCTTTGACCAGAGGCGATGTCACACTGGGTGAGAGTGAGTCATTGACATTACACAGGCCTGAGCTTTAACAGGTTTTTAAACCAAAATTAAATGATTACATCTTTATTTTTATTTTTATTTTGGATCATCAGCAGAGTTATAGACATTAGCATTAACGGCTGTAAATATCGATTTGTTTGTCTGTTTGCTGCAAAATTCAACCTAACCTAAACTGTGAGGTTTTAAAATAACCTACATTTACTAATCCAGCATCTGCAGTGACGGGATACCAAAAAAAATGGTCACTTTGATGTAACATATTCATCTTCTGACCTCTAACTCTATTATGTGATTCCTCTGACTTGATTTCAAGACACTTCAATAACACAGATAAACGTGGGGCTTTGAGTGTTCTTTCCTTTAGTAGTAACTTCCTCACTGAAGGGTGCTGCTGGCCTGGCTTTGTTTTGGTTCAGTCACCGACAAAAAGATCAGACACAATTCCTTGTTTCTGAAGCAGATGGTC